GTGTTCATAACTTTGCTTGATAGTTGAACTGAAAATCTGATTTGAAAAAACCTGTACCAACCGAAAGTCCCATGTCACTTGGATCACAAATTGCTGCAGATACAAAGGGGTGATGCTCCAGTCTAAGTGTCCTGATAACAGATAGTGCTTGTGTAATGTTTGGGGTTCAAAACCTCAAAATTTTCCATTACTTCTTATGAGAAAAATGTTTATTTCTTGAACTTTTTGGTGTTTGAACACAAATTTGGAATGAATTGAGTTCAACAACTGACATCACGATACTTCATCTGACAGGGCCTACATCAGAATCATAGTGGAGGGGCAGGGATTTAGCTCAATGGTTCCACCACCTGCCTCACTCACAAACACAAGGACCTTCAATCCCTGGTTTAAAAAAGTGGTGGTGGGGGGAATCATAGTGGTGAGAGAAAAATGTGAATTTCTCCCATACTTTCTAGAGCACAGGGACTTCTTTTCCAAGTTATTTCGGTCAAAAGTTTTTAAGGTACCACACTGTTTTTATGCAAGTGCTGCTTCATGACTGGGTCTTTAATAGGGATGAACTCACAGAATTCTTTTAAAAGTGAAATATTCTCCACAACTATTTTAGGGCCCGCTTCCTACTTCTGGCCAGAAAAAGAGAGAATGTCCAAGACAGGACTTTTTCCTCTGTGTACACTTGCTGATTTGGGATACCCTAAAACCTAGGACACATAGGAGAAAAACGAAGCATAAATAGGAAAACTCAACTGTATGTCATTCTTCATGTTATTTCCCTTTCAAATTATTGTTTATATCTCAGAGCTCTAATAGTGTATTATGTATTTTCCCAAGGACTTTAGCTTTAATAAGCAAGATAAAAGGTGGACGTTTAAACTTTATAGAACTTTAAATTCAAGAGCTGAAAATTGAAGCATTTAAAAATGAGCTTTTGTGAGTCTCAAAATGTCAATCTTCTAGATGAGTTTTTCTAAAAATATTATTACTGTCATTAATCTGATAAATTAGGGTCATGACATTTAAGAAAACTTAAAACAAGTAATTACTATATTGTCCTTTTTACTTAATTGTTGAATTATCTTGCATTTTCTCATGCATTAAATTATACTATTCTGTGACATAACAAGGACTTTAATGTATTGTTTGAGAAATAATTCATTTGACCTACTTATGAATAAATGCAATTTTTTGGCATTTTTACAAAAAAGTGTAAAGATCTCAATATTTCTTCCTAGGGGAATTGATCCTGTAAATTTTAAGGATTGTGGTCTTGAGAATAAACTGCTTCCTGGCAAAAAGTTTTAATATTTGTATTTCATAAGTTCACATACAATAGCAACTATATGCTCAATGCATCAACTCAAGAAATTTTTAAATGAATTATAATAAAGAAAACTGACCTTGGTTATGCTCTATTTTTTATAATAATTTTACTTTCTGTAATTATCAGTACTATCACCTTTTCAAATTCTTATGAATCATGATAATGCAATTTAGTTAAAAAAAATTTGCCCGTCATGCTGAGCAAGTTATTTCATCAGCCTGTGATGTACCATGTTAGAAAATTTGAATAACTCCTACCATTTTAATGACTGTTGCTAGAATTGTCAGGATAAAATGTCTGTAAAATCAGCAGTTTTTATAGTTTTAGTTTAAAATGTGCTATCATCTCTCCCTATTACCATTACCACATTTTGTCAAATGCACCTTTTGTTGAAAGATATATTACTCTTTGTACCAGAGGCTGGGCCAAGTATAGGCCATACATGCTTATTTAGGTGCTATTAGAATCCTTACATGCTCCCACTGGAAAATGTTACCACTCCACTGTATCAGTTTCTACTGACCAGGTGATTTTTTAAAGAAAAGACTATGACAAGTTTTGTATTGATGTTACAAGGCTGGGCTGAAAAAAAAGAGTTACTTTTCATAGTTACTTTTCAGGAATGCTAAGGGAACTCATGCATTTAATACGTATTTCCCAAGACCTATCTGTATGCTAAGAACTGGGCTATCTCCAGATTTGTGAAGTCAGAAATCTCTGAAATAGATTCTAAGTTCTTTCAGAAAAGCAACTTCATTTATCTTAGTGCTGTCCCACTTAGCAGTTTTGAAGTTAGTTAAGTTCCCTGTTCAATGAATGCAAGAATCAACCACTGCAATATGGTTCAGATAGTTCTTTGATGCAAGCATGTAAACTTCAGCCTCATCACAAGTCACCAGGCAAACTCTAACCTGTTCATCAAGACCAAGCTTCCTTACGGTCTTTTCAGTGAAACAGCTCTACCTTTGTGTCCTGCAGCCAGTTTGGCATTCCCTCTATAGAGTCCATCCAAAAAGTATGCATTAGATAATTACAATGAAGTTGCCAGTATTTGACTGTTTCGGTTCCTCTCTTCTCCAACACACAGCCTCCTACTACTTACTCTACCTTCCTAATCTCTAGCAACAGGGCAAGGATACGGCCGATTTCATCTAACAGCTAACAGTTTCAGAGATAAAGAGCTGGAACATCACAGGACTTACATAGATACAGAATGAATTAAAAATCTGAGTTAACTTTTATAGCTACTTTTGTTTTTAGCTATCATTTATAGGACATGATGCACCATACTCTAAACCAGTGGTGGCAAGCAGGCTGTTTGTATTACTGAAAGTTCTAAAAGGTTCGTCATCACTGTGCCTAGACCAAGGACGAATCCCTGTGCATTCCTATCGTAACTTTCTGAGAGGGTAAGGATAACAACCGAAATCTCATTTTGGTTTTTTTTAGGCAGTATAAGATAGGAGACCCACAGACACACAGTAGAGTGAAATACTACACCAAACCATTTTAAAGTAGTGCTTCACCTTTTTTATATTTACAAATAATTTTTGTACAAACTATAATAGTTAATAGAAGAGGGAAATGTCTGTGACACAATCACAGGAATTCAAAGCCACTTGGCTCCTCTCAACCACATGGTAATGTATCTATGGAACACCATGCAACGTAATTTGAAACATTCACTCTAAAGAAATACCACGCTTATCATCAGCTATGAAGATTATCCAGGTGGATGGTATCTGGCCAATCTCTTTAGTGCCTCTGATTTTCTCTTATATAAAAATATCATCAATCAGAACATGCCATGTTGAATGTAAACCCTAACTTTTGTAATGTGGTTAAAATTGAAAGCAAGAGACCTATCTAACATGAAACGATTCTGTCTACCTTGAAACCAGCTGTAACCAGCAGTTTGTACAAAATCTCTCATGGATTATGAGGGGGCAGAATTCTGAAGATTTACTTACGCCACATTTAATAATAATTGTTTGGGTTATGTTTTAGTGAGATACTATAAATCCCAGTCAGATTTAATCTCTCTAAAACTAAATTCTCCCCTCTCAACTAGAGAAAATACAGAGTAGGAATAATGTCTAAAGTGAGGGTGGAAAATTTGTTTGAAATAGGAATTTAGATAAAAATATACTATTTATAAATGTCTTTAATTCTGACCAAGGACTGGCTACAGGACAATTGAAATAGGGTCCCCTTAAAGTACCTACCTGAGATAACTCAATGTTGCTAAAATAGTTTGTTCCAGCCAAAACTTAAAGAAATTTAAGCTCCTGTGTCCTGGTCTCAGTGGAAGGCTAAGGGCTCATTAACAAACACAAGGGGTTCAGATGGATCACTCCCCTGCCATTTTCCTTTTGTAGATTTTTACTTCCATGACTGAGTCTCCACCCAAACCTCCGTATTTCTTCATTCTGACTTTGAAATAGTCAAGGGCATACAAACTGATACCAGGTTTAGTTCATGTTGGAATTTTGTCAGAATATCACTGACTAACTAGTATTCACCTTTATCTTTGTCATATCCTGTCTTTGCATAATTCAGTGGTCAGTTAATTTGCTAGGCTACCAAATATAACAAATCTGAAGAACCAGTTTGCTCTCCCTTTTGAGATTTCTCCTGCACTTTCTGGAAGCTGTGCTTATCTCAGACTATCTTTTAGTTCACCAGTCAAGAAAGCAGATTTTTTGCTTTAGCTGTTCCCATAGGTGCATCATGACTATATATATTAGGTTAAAGGTACAAAATATTAAAACCTAGTTTGTGTTTGTCCTTTTCTCCAAATTTCATTTTTTTATCACCCCCCAAGGTCCAGATATCTCACAGTTATTATTTTATTCATAATTTGTGTACTACTCTACCATGTCAGAAGAGGGTTTTCCAAGTTTTTGCTTGTATTTTCTATTAGCTTATCTAAAATGCCAAACAACAAAAATATTTTCTTTAAATGTGAGGTTCTTAAAAATTATATACATCTTTTACATACTGCTCATGTAATGCTATTTATAAAATTTACCTTATACAATAAATATAAATGTTCATATGGTCAGCAAGGTAGTTCAGATTAAATGACCCCAGTCTGAAAATCTAAAATTTGAAACTTTTTAAGTAGCTATCAGGATGCACTATTTCAGATTTTACAGTATTTGGATCTGGGAATTAGAGGTGATAAAACTAGTAAAATTTATATAAATATACCAAAATCTGAAGAATTGTGAATTCTGTAACAATTTGTGCCAACCATTTGAGTAAAGGATATTCAACCTGAACATTCACTGGTTCTGGAGAACAAATGCAATGATTTCCACTTTGACTCAGCCACTCATTAACTTACCATTATGAGCAAGTTTCTTCTGTAATTGATTCAAGAATCAATTCAATTTCCTTGATTGTATAATGCTGATAACAGTACTTAGCTCACTGGGTTATTATAAGGATTATATATGAAAATACATACAAATGAAAACACTATCTGATAAATGAAGAAAACACTTGAAGTTAGTTAACTCATATTTTTACTGATTTGTAAAATAAATCTCCCTATTTCCCTTACCATATTCCCTCCCAAGAATAACAACAGTATTACTCACAAAAATTTAATACACGTTTGAGAATTTTCATCAAAGAGTAAGATTATATAAAAGACAAAATTCAGTAAAGTATACAAGGAGAAAATCTGCAGCAGAGAAAAGGAAATTAGTATACATGGCAAAATAATCAAGCTCAAAATTATTTTTAAAATGCTGGCTAAAATAGTGAGTATCATCGTCTAACTGCTTGATCAGAAATATTGAAATTAACTGCCAGGACTGATTAGTCTGTGATCAAACTTGTATGTTATACTTTATTGGGTAATTAGGTAGATGCATACTACTGTTTTGGTGAACAATCTGTAATACTTTTGAAAGGAATCAAAACACACTGTAGGTCTGCTATCTGTGATACTGGCATTCCTACAACTCAGCATTTATTGCTGTATCTCTTTTCCCTCTCACAGCGGACAGAACTAATTCTAGATTAAATCCAGTCCAATCTGTTCCATATCAATTACTCGGGGATTACGTAACAGGTATGGCAAATGAAGACTGAGAAATGTCAATCCTAAAGCCAAGAAGTATGAGCATGCATCAGAAAAAGGACGATAATGACACGTAGGAACTAAGAGTCAATTATCAGGAAGGAAGATGGGGCTAAACTAACACATCCAAGATCAGATTAGATCACATTAGAACTTTTAGTATTCAGGTTATAGACACTACTTAAAGATATATCTAGAGAAAACAAAAGCGATAAATTCTATTCTTATGGTGTTTGATAGTTCCACCTATGGAGTTCTAATCACTCCTTTGAAATGGATAGAAGAATGTACAAATAATTATAATAATCACCAAGCTTTTGAGTTACTTTGTCAACAGATCAATCTATAAGCTTATCAGACTCAAGAAAAACTGTGATTTAGTCTGCTGGAACCTACATTCTCAGTCACCGACAGGTTGATTAGATTATAAAGAGGCTGACAAAAAGCTTTAAAAATATTGAGACTTCAAATAAATCCAGAGATCATTACACAACATGCTTCTCTCCAAACCTCTATAAAATATTCAAGCTTTAAAAACACAAAACAAATCAAGGTTGCAGACAATTATTATGCATATAGAAACATGATATTCCAACAACATTAAAATGGGAAATCTTTTCAAGATCTTTCCCCATTTTAGAATCTGACATTGTGTCAAGGGATTAACTTCCAATAGCTCAGCACATGTATATTAGTTTTCTTTGTGTTCCCTTTGTTCATCCAGCTACTTGCTTTATAATTCTTCCTTAACTGATTTTATTAGCAACAGAAAATACACAATCTTGCTATAAGAATTAAACTAAAAGCTGTCAGCTACATTTATCCTATATTTTAATTTCATTTTTTTCTTTGTATTTTTTCTTATCACCAACCAGGTATATCAGGCTCCCTAATACATAAAAGATTTGTATAAGAAAAATATTTGTTGATATATATGAAATTACAACCACAGTTGCACTAATTAATAAAGAACAATCTGTTCATTTACAAGAGATAGTACAAAGGAAGAGAAAATACTAGTTTGGTAACAGAATAACATTATTATTATATGTGTTCTTCAAAGAGTATGTTTAAAAAAAAAGGTTAAGGTGCAGGAATAAGTTTGTACTTTAAACTTCCATCATAAGCTTATTTGGGTCCTTTTGCTTTGGATTTTGTTTCTTTTGGAATCTTTCCATTCTGACTTTGAGTAAATCTCGCCACTGTTGAAACTCCATCCACAAACTTGGTTTTGAAAAGAACATTTGCATTGTTGAACATACCTTCTTTTAGGGATACCACAATGAACTTAAGGGAAAAAGAAAAGAAGCAGAGAAAAAATTTTTGTAATATTATTGAAGTAGTCACTTCTTCTTATTGGGCTATAAATTTTTTGGATGTCATAATTACTTATTTAAATATCGTACTCAAGAAAATGCACAAATGTAAATGTGAGTAGCACTCAGTTATAGTATTAGCCACCAAAATAGATTTCTATATTTGATTTTTTTGTTTGTGTGTGTGTGTGTGTGTGTGTGTGTGTGTGTGTGTGTGTGTTTTTGAGACAGGGTCTCACTATGTAGTTGAGACTGACCTGGAACTCACTATGTAGCTCAGGCTTGTCTTGAACTCACAGTGATCCTCCTGCCTCAGCCTCCCGAGTGCTGGGATTACAGGTGTGAGCCGCCATGCCTGGCTTCTATATTTGATTTTAAAGCCTCCTACTTGTACCCTGTGCATTTTGTCACCCAAGTTCACTATTTCTTGGCAGTTGAATGCTGTAGTTGGCATTCACTGTTTTGCTACTAACTCTAATTGCCTAAGTGAAAAAGTTTTATTTATGCTAGCAATACCAAATAAGATTAGCAATGATTATCCCTAGCCCAAATGGAACCTTTATATAATTAAGATACCACTTTAAGGTTATCTGCCAAAAATGTGAAATAGGAAAATGCAATGTATGATAACTATGGTGAGTGCAGATCTGGAGTTGTACAACACGTAATTTATGAAGCCATATCTGATACCGACTGTCTCAACAGCAAGAGTAAACCAACTGTTCTTAGCTTCAAAAGGCTTTTCTCTACCTTTAGCCAGGAGAAATGAAAGTCCCCGCATGGAGTACACATAATTTTCTGCTATCTGAAAATATAACACTAAAAAAACTGCTTTGATTGTGTAGCCTTATGGCCACTAGCCAGAGAAAACAATTATATTAAATCATTCTAAATTGGAGTCTCTCTCACACTACAATTTTAATGTCTGTTTTTTTTTGGCTGTTTATTTTTAAGGAAGACAGAATGCTTTTTCCTTTTATAACCATTTGAACATAGTGTACCTACATAAATAAATAATACTTTGGTATTCTTCAATCCAATATGTCTTTTTCTTTTTCGCTATGCTGGGCAATGAACCCAGGGCATTGTGCTGGTTAGGCAACTCTTCAACCACTTAGCTGCATCCCCAAACTAATCTAAGTATCTTACTGAGTACTGGTAAAAAATAGTTTAGAAAAACTCTGGTGAAAAGTCCACTGACTTGTTTTTAATATTCTTACCTGAGAATGTGTGAAATGAGTTCGCAGCATCTGTCCAATATTTTGGGTATGAGAAAGATCCAAGGCTGCATCTACCTCATCCAAGATATAAATTGGAGCAGGTTTGAAGAGAAGCATGGACAATATTAATGACAAAGCCACTAAAGACCTAGGAAAGGTTGGTGGAAGAAAACCCATATACATTTTATCATTTTTTACAAAAATACCAAAGCTCATCTCCAACTGTGAACAGACTATACAGTACATATTTTTACTTTGGCTTCAGCTGTTAGGTAACTTTTATAGATTATAGCCCAGTACATTCAATGCTTCACAGCATCAGAAATTGAAATAATCTTTATATAAAATTTGTAGTTTTATACCTATTTCCAAATTCTATAGCTCTATTTTTAAGTTCTCTTCTAGTTTACCCTCCCTTTTAACTGCATTTCTAATCTGGCATGAACAATCATAACCAAAATTAACCTAGTATGAACAATCTATTTAATCTTGTATGACAACTCATAATACTTCTTTAATGTTCTTTCACAGCAACACATTTTATAAAAAGCCTCTGCTTCAATGCAAGATATTATCCAGCATCAGAGCAAAAATTACATTTGCAACATACTTATTCTATTGCTTCAAATACCATGCTATACAGAACTACAACATAGAACAGTGATTACAATGTTTAATGTATTCTGATAGGGTATTAATTAAAAAACAAAAATATGGGTGAGGGTGGGGGGAGGAAGTATGTGCAGAAGTAGAGGAAAAACCAAGATTTCTAAGAAAAGGAAATTAATGAAATAGTGTAATGAAAACTGAAGCATAATGAAACTAATATTCACCACTATAAAGAGAAGCTTAGGTTAAGACATTAATATTTTTATTGGCTTTCTCTGTGTCAAAACACTGAACTTTAAACAATCTAAAAACATTCTAGGATTCTGGCAAAAAAAAAGTTAAAGATACTGGGACCTACATTATAGAATTTAGATTCTTAAAATATTTAGAAATTTTATGAATCATCAAAAATGTTGAGTAAAATGTATTTTTACTCAAAAATTTGAAACAGGAGTTCAGAAGGAAATTAGCAGGTCTCTAATGTTATTCTACTGAAATTGAAAAGGAAGCAATACTCCCAAACTCATTCTTGACAAAGTCCAACACCCATTTAAGATAAAAACCCTAAAGAAAATTGGAATAGATGGTTTTTATCTCAACCTGATAGAAGCCATCTATGAAAAATGAACAACAAACATCATTCTAAATGGGCAAACAATGAAACTGTTAAAATCGGGAAGAAGACAAGGATGTCCACTATCACCACTCTGGTTCAATAGTTATGGAAACATTAGCCAGAGCAATTAGATAAGAGACAGAAATAAGGACAGGGAATGAAGAAGTTTAACTGTCATTATTTGCAGATGACATGATACTTTATATATAGTAGACCCCCAAAACTCTAACAAGACTTAACCAATTTCAGTAGAGTAGCTGGATACAAGGTCAACACTAAAAAGTCAACAGCCTTCCTGTACAGACTCACTGAGAGAGGAACTGGTGAAGCAACTCCTCTCACAATAGCATTAAAAAAACAAAAACAAAACCTAGGAATTAATCTAATGAATGAAGTAAAAGATCTCTGCTTTGAAAGCTACAGCACTCTGAAAAAAGAGATAGAAGAGGATATAAGAAAGTGGAAAGACATCCCTTGTTCTTGGGTAAGAAGAACCAATATAGTTAAAATAGCCATACTTCCAAAAGTGTTATATAGATTTAATACAATTCTGATCAAAATTCTAACAGCTTATCTCACAGAATTAGAAAAACAATCCTAAAATTAATTTGGAACCAGAAGAGACCTAGAATGGCAAAGAGAATTCTGGTCAACAAAGCAATGGCAGGGGTATTCCCACCTGCAACTATACTACAAAGCTATGGTGATAAAAAAAAAAAAACAGCATGATACTGCCAAAAATCAGATCCTAGGATCAATGGAACAGATTAGAAGATACAGAAACAACTGCAGACATCCTCAGACATCTCATCTTTGAAAAAGGAGCCAAACCACCCATATTGGAGGAAAGATAGCCTCTTTAATAAATGGAGCTGGAAAAACCAGATTTCAACTTGGTCAAAGATTAAAATTAGACCTGTATCTTTCACTATGCACTATAATAAAATCGAAATGGATCAAAGATCTAAATAGCAAAACAGATAAACCCGCTACAAGATAGGTTAGGTAGAATTCTTGAAGATACTTCTTAGGAAAAGACTTTTTACAAAACCTCAGTCACACCGGGACCAGCACAATGAATCAATAACTGGGTTCTCATCTTATTAAAAAGCTTTTGCACAGCAAGAAAAAAACTACGAAGAGTGAAGAGACAACCCACAAAATATTAAAACAATTATACCATCTGTTTCTCAGACTGAGATCTACTATCTAGAATACATAAAAAAACTAAAAACTTAAAAAAAAAAATCAGATCCCTCCAAATTTAAAGACCTAATCCAAAAGCGAGCATCTAAAATGAACAGACATTTCTCAAAGTAGAAACAGCAACATATGAAAAAATGTTCAACATCACACTGGTCATTCAAGGGATGCAAAAGACAAAAAACAATGCTGAGATTTTTGTCTCACTCCACAAAGAATGGCTATTATTAAGAGATCAACCCATAACAAATGCTGGCAGGGCTGTGGGAGCCCTCCTGTACTGTTGAGAGCATACTGGTGCAACTACTGTGGAAATCAGTGGGGAGATTTCTCAAAAAACTAAAACTCAAAGTTTCATTTTAGTTAGCTACTCACCTTCTAGGTATTTTCTCAAAAGAATTAAAGGCATCATACCACAGTGATATATGTACACCCATGTTTATAGTGGTACTATAATAGCTAAATCTTGAAACAGCCAAAATGCCCATCAGCTAGAACTGGTGACTGGATAAAGAAGATGTGGTTCTTTTATAAAACTGAGTACTACTCAGCCACAAAGAATGAAAAACTAGAGATATTTATAGTTAAATAGATACACTTTGAGACCATACTGTTAAGTGAAATAAGTAAGACACACGTGTAAATACTGAATTGTTTCACTAGTAGGAGAAACTGAAAGTGTAAATGAAGACCAAAATGTATAACAGATACTGTGAATTATGAAGAAAATGTTGAAAGGGAAAGAGGAATGGGAACAGGGAGGAGGCTATGGAAAGAAAGCTTTTGTAAACAGAGAGGGGTGGAGAGGCTGCAGGGAGGAAGGGGAAGGGGAAAAAATAAGAACCAAGATATATCATGTACAGTTACAGGTTTCCAATGATGAATCAGATCATAATGTATACCTAAAATGTACCAATAAATTTAATGAGTAAAAAAAATTAACAGGTTTCAATATTTTCTACTAACATGAAGTAACGTGGTGATTTTACAAGTCACATGAAAATAATTCAAAGGACCATGAAATGTGTATTTTGAAGAATTAAAAACAAACACTAAAGTAGTAACAAATGTCAATTATGTGAATAGTCACAATTTTTTCCCAAGAAGTTTTATTTGGCTGTCTGCAGACAAGGAGTTAGGCCAAAAGACCTTTTATTTTTCCATTAGTATGTTGATTTTAATCACTTTGTAAATTTCAGAAACTTCCCAAAACTCACACTTGTGCTTTTTCCAACATTTTGTACCTTCATGCAGATGAAGTTTCAACTGAAATTACTTTTCTTTTGTCCAAAAATGACCTCTGACCAGCAAATATTAGATCAAATTCTTTCAGCTATTTATCTACATATGTATACTGGAGATTGGACCAAGGCCTCATGCATGCCACTCTAACATTAAGCTGTATACTCAGCCCTTTTTATTTTAAGACAGGTCACCAAGTGCCCCAGGGTAGTCCTGAACTTACAAATATTCCTCCCTCAGCCTCCCAAGTAGCTGAGACTACATACAGGTTTGTGCTGAGCAAGTCCCTTTTCACCTCCTATTTGTCTGAAAAAGTCTACTGCCTTCAAAATGAATGTTTCTATTAGATATAGAATTTTCAGTTGACATATTTTTTTCTTTCAATACTTTGTTTCAAATTCCAGGTTTGTGTAGTTTTAGGTAAGAAGTATAAAGTCATCTCTGTTCTTGGCACATATTTCTTTTCCATTGGCTGCTTTTAAATTTTTTTCTTTGAATTACTGGCTTCTGGTAATTTTATATATGCCTTGCTGTAGTATTGTGTGTGCTTACGTATATCCTAGAATTCAAGGATATAGCTTTAAAGAATTCATCAAATCTAGACACGTTGGGGCCATTCATTCTTAAAAGTATTTTGTCCTTTTTCCTCTCTTTTTGGAATATCAATTACATACATGTCAGGTAGCTTCCCACAGGACTCTGAAACTGATTTTATTCTTGTATTCTTTTCCCACTTTTTGTTTTTTAATTTATCTTGAATAGAATCTACTGACATGTCTTCAAGTTTATGCATCTTTCTTTTATAGTGTCTAATATCTTTATTTTTATAAATTCTACTTAACAGTTTCTATTTCTCTAATTCTGAGGTATTTCTTTTCTGTGTGTGGGGAGATTACTGAAAAGTTATTCTGATTTTTGTCTATGTTAGCATGCTGGTTTTAGTTTTGCAATTTTTATTAGATGTTGTGGTTATTACGTAGTTTAGTGTCTCAATTATGCTGTCTTTCTTTAAAGATCACTGGGCAACTGGGTACAAACCTGCAATCCCAGATGCTCACAAGGTTGAGGCAGGAAGACTGTAATATCAAGGCCAGACTGAGCATCTTAGGGGAGAGCTTGTCTCAAAATAAAAATTAAAATGGACAAGGAATATAGCTCAGCAGCGGAATATGATACAACACAACGCTAGGCTTTGTTCTGATAAACAGAATAATATGCAGATCAGCCTGATTCCTTCAAGTCTTCCTAAGTGTCTGAGGGAGTTTCTAAAGTAGTCTGATTCAGACAGTACAGAACTAATCTAAGGTATAGTTCTGTAGTTTCCCAAATTTCTAACCGATGTGCTGTCTCCGTAAATTAGTGATACTGCAAGCTCTATGAGTTGCCATTCCTGCTTCTGATGACCAGAAACTGAAATCAGAGAGAAAGCTGCCATAAACACAGGGATCAACATGTTCTTTCTTTTTCAGGTATCACAGGCCTGAACTATTTAGTTATTTCCAATGTTGATAAAGTTGTTTTTCATAAATTTTATCAAATGTTCCAACTAAATTTTTACTTATATATTAGGCTGCATAATTAGTACATAAAAACTGGCTAAGCAAATCAAGAGTGAAACAAGTGGAATGCATTGAATTATAACAAGAATGTTATTGCAAAAGAACTACTTACCTCTGACCACCACTAAGCTCAGTTAAATTTTCTTTCCAGGTATTTCCCAAGGCAACTTTGAACTCCAGACCATCCAAAACAGTTTGCCCTTCAGGTGCTGCAAGCATAGCATTGGCACCAGGCAAAAGGGTAGAAAAAATAGACCCAAAATCTTTGTTCACCTGTATAAAAATCACATTAAAAAATGGAATGTTTTAAAGAATCACTTATTGGTAAATACATGTGCAACTAAGCAGGTCCAACGATTATATTATCTGTTATTTCCAGTTGAGGGTTAGCAAACTTAGCCTGTGTGACAAATCTGGCCATGCCCAGTTATTTACAATGTTTCTATGGCTGCTACTGCCAAAACAGGGACTGCAAGTCTTACTAAGTCAGAATTACTTATTCTCCAGCCCTATTCAAAGTAAATTGTTGAGCCCTACTGTAACTCCCAGGGGAAACTAAATGTTATAATTCTATTTCTATCCCATAGTTTCGATGCTTTTGTAGAACATACTGCAGGAATCCTCAAGACAATAACAATTATATCACACTGGAGGAGAAAACCTCTTTTTGGCAAAGTGTTGTCTGATACAATTTGTTTTTTTGTTGGCTAATGGGGTAAGATGGCCCTATGACCACAAGCTAAATCCCTAAGTAGACCAAAATGAGATTCAGAAGAAAAACAAGTATGCATCAAACGGCCAGATCTGTTCAAGGTATTAAAAGACTTCTATATTCCTTATTTATCAGGAAAGAGGTTAATTATTGAGGACCAGAAATATTGGATCCCAAGACAAAAAGGCTAAGGAAGCTACTTGGCCTGTCCTTGCCCCTATTTTGCTGTAGAATAAGACTACACAGGAATTTAGGGACAAAATCCTACTTTGTACTAATAGAGTAATTTTGTACATACGTATCTGCTCAATATTTTAAAAATTTGGCTGTCTTGAAAGACATGACTAGTAAATGAAGAGTTCAGCAGGAATATCTGAAAGTGGATACCACTGCCCTCTCACCTGAGCGTGGGCGCATGCGCGCGCGCGCACACACACACACTTCCAGATTATCTCACCTGAGTGGGCGCATGCGCGCGCGCGCACACACACACACTTCCAGATTTGAACAGAAATCTCCATAACCAAGTGGAGGAATGGAAAATTCAAATGTAAATATACTCAAGAAATCTATAGACAGCAGTGATCCTGAATAAAGACTTGCTAAAGAATCTACATTTTAAGAGCAATTATTATCCTGCTGAGTAATATCCTACACAGTGGAAGCAGGATCAAATTCTTTTTTGGTTGTTATTTTTATTTTTTTATTTTTTTTGGTCCTGATAGAGTTCCATAACTTGGAAAGGTTTATTTAAAATGATAAAGGAACAATTGTCCTTTGGGGAAAGATCAAAGGCAGCATATAAACATCCTAGGCTCATTTCCTTTTCATCTTTTGGCCAGATGGGAGGCAGGCAGCTCAAACTGAGAGTAGAATACTACTAAATCCTGAATACAACTATGGATGCCATGTGTAAATCACTCCAAAGAAGTAAAAATATTAAGAATACCGTATGTATTTATGCATGTTTGTATCAATCCACATTGTACTGATACATTGATTAAATATAATTTTGTAACTCTGCTAAGGCTAAGGAAAAAAACCAAAAGTAATACGTCAATATCCTGGGGCTGTGTAAATAAAGTATGCTTAAAATCAAAAAGACGTATAGAATGCTGATGAAAAAAGTATGTACCTTAGGTTATCCTAAGGATTAAGAAAATTAGAGTACACTGGTACAAGGACTCACTAAATGTTGTTTTAGAATAAACTGGAGAAATGGAGAAAAAGATCAGAATCAGTTTAGAGTACACTGTAATTTATTGTAAATCTGGGAATTATGGGATGGTAATAGGGACAGAGCCAAATCCTCCCACAGTATTAATCCTACATGGTGTACAAAAATAAAGCCATCAATCATTGTGTGCCTTTTAAAAAGGACACATAGTATAAGGAGTGACAACATTGAAAATAAATCTTAGAGTAGGGAAAACAAAGTTACTAAAAATAATTGTGCTACCATCACTTAAATAAGGGTTTCCGCAGAATTCAACAGAGAAAAAGAAACAAGCTACCCAACCGGGTCACTGAAAACACAAGTTTGCTGAAGTACTAAAGTGCAGAATAACTTCATTTGGAATCCTTTGAATAGAGAGCTTTTATAGTGGTAGAAATGGCAAAACTTCCACATGAAAGACTGAGGAATGATTCTGAGAGACATTATATGAAGCCAGAGAGTTAGAACTGTGAAGAAGGTTGAAGTCCTGCCAAAGTTAACATGAAACTGAAAATTGTAACTGGCACTTCTGTTGAATAAAAGTTCTATAAAAAGAACACTAAATTTATTTACTTTCCAATTCTTAGAGAGGGGGGAAAACAATTAGCAATAAAAGTCAATTTTAACTTTGGTTCTAGATAGCAAAAGAGAATTCCAGTTCTTCCACCTTTTAGCTATATGATACATATAGCTACTTTCTCAGCTTAGGTTTCCTCATGTAAAAAACAGATAACAATAACTACGGAAGTCACAGAATTGTTTTAAGATAATTAATGTAAAATAATTAACAGAGTACTTAAATGTTAGTTAATAGTAATCTAATCTGTGTAAAATATTACTAAGAAACCACAGAATGAAATATTTTTGAATTCTGAAATGCAATTAACAATTTGAGTGATAAAAAGTTATGTTAATCTTGCTAGAGATTGAGAGTGACATTAGCAAGATGGCTGACATAGATGCCTTCATGTTTCTTTGCACAATAAAGAAATAAAACAAAGAAAAACAACTGCAATTTTACTGGCGTAACTGAAGCAGAGTGCCACACTGAAGGAAGAATATGGCAGAGATGCTTCATAACTTGGAGACGCACGAAAGTCTTAAGAACAAGGGAACAAAGCACCCATCTACCATACCATCTGCGAAAGGGGAACTGGCTGGGAAAGTTAAGTAAGTAGGAGACTCTTAAGTAAGTGGACGGTCCCCACCTGTACCAAAGACACCTGAAGAATTTGCTGTTGGAGAGAAGCCATGAGCCCAGTTTGGAAAGCTGAGGGTCACAACACTGCTGTACTGCTTGGAGAAAGAGGGTGGTGTAAGGTTAACTTTTTTTTCCTTCAGAAAACAATGGCTAAGAACTTCCCAGATCTTCAAAAACATGATTATCCTGATTTCCAGAAAAATCAAAGAACACCACCTAGATTCAACAAAGACCTTCACTAAAGAACATTATGTTAAAATATCAAATGTACAACAGAAAATTTAAATTCAAAGCCTCATAAACCAAGAATACTATCATCAGAAAAGCTATCCTACAAAATTGAAGGGGAAATAGTATTTCCCAGATAAGAAGAAACTGAAGGAATTTGTCACCACCACACCAGTGCTGTAAGAAATACTTAAGGGAGTCCTACAGTAGGAACAAAAAAAGAGGATAACTACTATTATGAAAACACATGCAAATACAAAACTCCTTAGAAAAACAGACACGAAAAGGAGAATGAGAAAAGAATCCTTAGCGTGACAAAAAACACAAAATAAAACAAATAATAAAAGACATGGAAAGTAACAAAAATATACAAAACCAAGTAGAATAAAATTACAATTATAAGAGGACATTCAGACTAATTAATAACAATGTTGAACACAAATGGATTAAATTACCAATCAAAAGATGCAGACTATCCTGATTAGATTAAAAAATTCAAGAGCCAAATACATGCTGTCTATAAGAAATTCACTGCATTGGTAAAGAAACAGACTAGAATAACCTGTTGATTAAAGGTGCTTAATGAAAATGGAAACCAAGGATGAGCAAAAGTAGCTATATTCGTATCAGAGAAAGTTGACTTTACATCAAAAACTATAAAAAAAGCAAAGGCCACTGTATATTGACAAGAGGATCAATTTAGCAAGAAGATATAACAATAGAAATATATACACATTCAACATAGGACCACAGATCACCCAGAGAGAAAATCAACAGACATCTGAGTTGAACCATGCTACAGAGCAAACAGATGTATTATAATATCTGACTTTCAAACCCATTACAAACCTATAATCAAAACAGAATGCTTTTAAAAAAAAGACACATAAACCACTGAAACAGAATATAGCCCCCAGAAATAAACCCACATATCTAAATCTGATTTTTAGCAAAGATACCAAAAATAGACATTGGAGAAAGGGCAGCCCCTTCAACAAATGGTTCTGGGAAAACTACGTATTTATGTAACAGGAGAAACTATAGACTAGATCCCTCCTCTTACCATACACAAAAGTTAACTCAAAATGGATTAAAAACTTACCTGAACCTATGACACGACTAGGAAAAAACGGGGGACGCCTTAGGACATTGGTCTGGGCAGGTGTTTTTATGGATCTGACCTCAAAAATACAGGTAACAAAAGCAAAAAATAACAAATTTGGTTGCAGCAAACTAAATAGCTTGTGTACAGCACAGAAAACAACAGAGTGAAGAGGCAACTTACAGAATGGGAGAAAATATCTGTGGACTATTCATCTGACAAGGAAAACATCCAAAACACACAAGCCCTCAAGCAACTTGAAAGGACAAAAGCAAATTAATTTAAAAAAATGCAAAAACGACCTAAGGATTTCTCAAAAGATATTAGATACAAAGGGCCAAGAAGTATAAGAAAAACTGTTCAATATCACTAATCATCAGAAAAATAGAAATCAACTACAGTGAAGTATAATATCAACCCAGATAGATTATTATCAAATAGCCAAAAAACAAGAGATGCTGGTAAGTATGCAGAGAAAGAAGAACGCTCACACTGTTGGGGGGAAATGCAAATCATTGCAGCCATTACGGACAGTACAGAAGTTCCTCAAATCCTAGAAACAGAACTGCTGAACCATTAATTCTACACTAGATATATATCCAAAAGAAATGAAAGCCATTTGATGAAAAAAATACCAGCATTCACGTGGTTAATGCAACACAATTCACAACAGCCAAGACATGAAATTAATTTATGTGTCTACTGACAGATATAGGGATAAAGAAAATATGGTGTACACACACACACACACACACACACACACAAACACACACACACAAAATGAAACATTATTTAGCTATATAAAGCGAATTCTGTAATTTTTATCAATATGAACTAAAGGTTATTAATTGATTAAATAAATCAAGCATAAAAAGATAAATACTGCTTAGCTTCACTGTTATTAGAAAGCTCAAGCTAAAACATTCAGAGAATACTTGTCACCAGAGTCTGGGAAGGGTGTGGACATGGAGGATGAAGAGAGCAGGGTTAATGGGTACAGAGGTGCAGGTGGACAGTAGGAATAAATTCAGGTGTTCTATAGCTTAGTAGGAATCTCTGGTTGCGAATCTCTGGTTGATTATTTCAAAATAGCCAACAGAGAGGATTTTGATGCCAGTTACCCTGGTCTGATCATATACATAATACACATGTTCTGAAATGTTACAGTGCACCTCATCAGATTTCTCTTTGAATATAAATTCAATATAATATTCATCCTTATATAATATAATATTCATCCTTACTTCCTACATATTTAAAGGGGTAGTATTTTGGGGTTGAAATACCTTTTGCCAAGCAATATTTAGGGCTTGGTTTTTCTTTTGGTCAAGGTCTTCTATAGTTGCAAGGATTTTGGATTTGTCATTTTCTACGATTCTCTTCTTCTTCATTAAGTCATTATACTGTGAGATAAAAAAGTATGTTTTATTTAGAAGCATAAAAATTCCTCTATGTCCTGAAATTCTGTCAGAAATAAAGAAGTTTCATTATTTAACAAAAACATACAATACATTAAGTTACAGTATAAAGCAAATTACAAGGAAAGTGAATATACCTAATATGTATAGAGTAAAATTAAACTATAGTAGTACTATGGTACAAGTTAACTGGTTCCAGGAGGCAGGACAAGTACCAAACAAATTGTTTTGGCCGGTAAGGGTAGCCAGTTACAAGGCAATTGACATCGGTGAATTATTCTAGCTTACTCATTAAGTTCAAAACAATGGACAGGTACTGGGACAAAATTTTCATGTCAAAATGCATTGAGTACCAAATCCCTAGAACTTCAAAGCAGTTGTGTATCAAGGTGTGATGCTAGAAATGCAAATTTATTGGAAAGACCTCAAATTAGTTTGACTACACTAGTATCTCTTATCTTTATTGCAGTCAAGCAAGGCAAAAAGGAAAATATGTCACATATACATTGAAGGAAAAATGGCTCCAAAAGCTCTCTTAAGGTCAGTTTCATTAGTGACATGAATAAAATTTCCACTCTTCACTATGATATACACATCCTAAGTTGACCTTTATTCATTTGATTTTATGACATCAGAATCCTTCTTGGAATCCTTCTTGACCCTACTGAGCTCCTTGAATTCACTGTTTTATATCCCCTGCGTTATTCTTTTTTCTCTAAATGTTCTTTCTCTATATCTGTATAACTGGAGACTTAAATTTCAGCTAAAACACTCTCTTTTTGGAGTGGCCTTCCTTTGTGGATAGTTTTAGCATCAGCAGCAGTAGAACTTTAAAAAGTTTTTCTTAATCCATTTCTCCTGAAAGCCTCATACATTTGAAGGCACCTTACGTTCTCAAATAATTCCAGTTAGTCCCGCTATCTTCCTGGTGGTCTCTCCTTTATGACCAGACCTACAAAAGCTTCATTACATTTTTATCTTCTTACATAAATCTGTCATTTCTTACATGAACAGACACAAAATACAAAACATTATGCAGAAGGGTTATCTGATCAACAAAAAGCCTTCTTTTCTGGTAAAGACAGTCCATGAAGTAAAAAAAAAAAGACCTTGTTATCATTATCTAATAAAAGTAAACAAGTGAGTAAGTTTCATAATGTTGCATCTAATTATTTTATTTAACATTATAGTTGTACATAATAATGCCAGTAAGTTTTATTTTTGGTTTTTTGAGACAGGGTCTCACTATGTAGTTGAGACTGACCTGGAACTATGTAACCCAGGCTGGTCTTGAATTCACAGTGATTCTCCTGCCTCAGCCTCCCGAGTGCTGGGATTACAGGCATGTGCCACCATGCCCAGCAGTAAATTTTTTTTTAAAACCATTACAGGAAAACTACTTAAATGCAACCGAGCTCAGGAGTGTTAACAGTTCTGCAGAGCTCTCATTAGTCCTACTATGCAAATTCAAACAGAATTTTGTAAAATTGAAGTATGAGAGGCATTAAGACAAAATCACTGATTGCCTTTAGTTATGGGGCCCCAAAGTACAAACTGCTGCCCCTAATGGTTTTTCTAGTGGCAGGATTTCCAAAGTTCATCAGTGGATGACACTGAAAATCTCTTCCTAGACTCTAAGAATTCTGTCAGCACAGGTGAGATAGATGACATTATCAAGTAATTGAGAGCATTAAGACCAAGAAGATGCTGCCACAAGAATGGAACAGTACTTTTACTGATAATTTAGACAGTTGTTTCAATATACTCCAAAGCACTGGTCCCCAACCTTTTTGGCACCAGGGACCAGTTTTTCCATGGAGGGGGGTTGTGGTGATGGTCATTTTGGGGTGATTCAAAGGAGTGAGCAATACAGATCCCTTCCATGCAAATTTCACAGTAGAGCTCACACTGCTGTGAGATCTGTTGCCACTGCTCATCTGATAGAAGTTGGAGCTCAGGCAGTAATGCGAGTAATGGGGTGTAATTGTAAATACAGATAAGTTTTCCTTGCATGCCATTTCTCACGTGCTGTGTGGCCCAGTTCCCAACAGGCCATAGACGTACTAATCTGTGGGCTAGGGGTTGGCAAACCCTGCTTTAGAGTGAAAGGGAAACAGCAGTTATGGCGCAGTTAGTGAGAAGGCACATAGCGGCATACTCTATTTTATAAGCAGGTAAAAGAAATGACAACCGAGGACAGACAGGATCAAGAAGTGTTTTTATTTACATCAAGAATAAGTCAAGAGTACTATTCAAGAGGCTGATGCAGGAGGCGGACAGGTTTGAGGTCAGTATGGCAAAACAAGGCACCTTCATCATTTTCAAATAGAAAGAAAAGAAAAATACAAGTAGATGAATAAGCAAAGGGTAGAAAGTGTTCATGGCAAAGCACAAATGCCGATAAAAATGTCATTCAAGGTACAAGCTGGGCATTGTGGTGCACACTTGTAACCCAATCACTTTGGAAGGTTGAAACAAAAGAATCTCAAGTTCGAGTCCAACTTGGGCAACTTAGCAAGGCCCTAGTTAAGAAAAAAGTCTGGGGATGTCGCTTAATAGAAGGCCCTAGTTTTGCACATCCCTATTACTGCCTAAATAAGTAAATAAAGTACACCAGATTATTTAAAAAATTGGTAATACAAAAAAAGAAAAAAATAAAAAAGGAAAGAAAAAGAAAGGAGAAAAAGAAATACCTCAGACATTAAACAAAAGTTTGATATCTAGAAATCATTATATGGCCACAAAGTACTATCAATGGTACCATGAATAAGTCCAGATGTTTACTGGAAATTGACTTACTCGCTCTTCAGCTTCTGTCAGTACATTCATAGCTCTCATATTGACATTCCTTCCTAGTTTCTCCTTCATTTCTTGCAACTTCTGAAGTCGCTGACCGGCTTCCTTGGGACTGTTGGTTTTGAAATCATAGGCACTATTCGGTTGGCCAAAGAGATGTCTCTCTGCATTAATCCAATCATAGTCTTTCAACATTTTGGATACCTAGTCATATATGAAAACAAAAGGACTTGATGGGTAAAAAAAATAAAATCAATGTTTCTAAACAAATTTCTTAAATTAATTTCAATTAATTAAATTTTAAGTCACACATTTGGGTGAAAAATACCAAAAACAAGAATGACTACTTTATACCTAAAATGTACCAATAAACTCAATGAGGAAAAAAAAAATAAGAATGACTACTTTTAATTGGAGAATAAGGCTTAACAAACAAGAGAATGAATAGGAAAAAGATCCTTCCTATTACCAATGTAGTCAAAAGGAGCCAACTCATTAAGTAGTTTAAATACCCCTATCCAAAATGCTTAGGACCAGAAGTATTGTGTAGCTTTTCAAATCTTCAAATATCTACATATACATACTGAGATGCCTTAGAGAAGGAAGACAAGTTTAAACATAAAATCCAGTGGCAAAAATAGCCCCTTTGGTGAAAATATCCTGTTGTTCTCTGCCATTTTCTGAAATAGTTCTGGAGTCCCTTTCTTGTTTGTGAATGTCTTTATGAGGTGTGATAAAAAATACACTGATGGGGCCGGATATTTAGCTCAGTGGTGCCACTGGCTGCTTCATTAGCACAAGGTCCCCAGTTCAATCCGTGGTACCAAAAAACCAAAATAAAACAAAACTCCAAAAAAACACAAAACTGATCACTGCTGCCAAGAGCCAATCAACAAAAAGGCAGGCTTGTAAAAACATTACAGTGTGTCCTTATTCACCAGATCTGGCACCATGCAACTTTAGTCCTTCTCCAGTACCAAAAAACCATAAAAAGTAAACATTTTAAATTGATTCAGGATGTTCAGGCAGGCATGACAAACAGCACAACTAAAGACACTCAGGAAAGAAGACTTTCAGGACTGCTTCAAAAATGGAAAGAATAATGGGATAAATGTGTATGAAGTGAAGGGGAAGTATTCTGAAAGGGATTAATGGCAATGTGTCTATCACTGTAATAATTTTATTTAAATACTGTATTTTTATCATATCTCATACCTTATTTATATATATAAGCTTAAGTAATTTCATCCATATCTTTAATATGTCTTCAATCTGACTATGATCTGTTAAGTGAAATCAGGTATGGAATTTTCCTATTGTGGTGTCTGTCATATCAGCACTCCAAAGCTTTGAAGCATTTAGGTTTTAGGAATTTCACATTAGGAATGTGGAACCTGGATGTGCAAAATATATATCCATTAAAATGAAATGTAAGTCAGGCTGCTTTGGCTTTTACCAAGTTTGGTCTATTGTTTCATCAAATTTAATCTACATTTTCAAAAAACTTGTAAGAAGCTAAAATTCCTTAACAATACTGACGTCAGAGATTTGGTAAAATGGAAGCCTAATCCTAATAATTTCCTCAAAAGTACAACTGACAAAAAAAAGACTGTCCTCAATGTTAACTCTATCTCCATTCCTATCATCTTTCACAAGGCACAGCATTATATTTCCTCAAATAATACAATTGATTAAAAACATCAAATCATAGTACTTAAAAAATCTTGCAAAGTAAGATTCATTCTGACTGGCAGAACCAGGTTTTGTCAACCAGTTTTCATACCATGGGTTTGGTCTACCAGGCCTCTAAGTGAAATTACTGTTTACAGTCTTCTCTTCCTTGCTGATCTGTTAGCTCTATGAAAGCACTCTGTGTATATTTTTCTTATCCTTACATCCTCACTGCCTAGTATAGTAGCAGATACCTGGTAAAGTACCAGATACCAGGTACAGTATTTATACTAGTAGAGAGACAAAAACATTTTTCAAAGAATACATAAATTTTTAGCAGAATTATTTGTAAATCTCTCCTTTTATCCCCTTAAGAGCAAATAAAATTCCTAGTAACCATTGATACTAGGATATTCAATAACCAAAAACCTATTAGCAATGTTATTGCTAATATTGGTAATATTGCTAATGTTGGTAATATCTCAGACTCCACAAGCACCAGTTCCTATAATGTTGAGAAATTGATAATAAATGTGGGAGATTATGATGTAGTCATAAATAATGTTTTTTAAAAACCAAGTAATGAACCTCAGAGGCATCTACAGTTCTTTTAAAGGATGGGGAGACTGTTTGGTATGTTCTTGATGATCTTTAGACGTGTTTTTGTTTTCAAGATGCTAAAAAAGATTCTGAATATTAAAAAGGCACTGAACTATTAACACACCCATAAGAAAATATGGTGAAAGAATTATTAAGAACAACACACTGATACAGGCTTTTAACCAAGCAATACATTTTTTAGGGAAGTATGTGATGGATTTAAGTGCTTACAGAAAGACAATGAATGATAGAGGAAAAGAAGAAATTTTAAAAGCAACAACAACCTATTGGAAAAGTTCAAAATGATAACTGTTTGGAAAAAAAATCAGATTTGCAATAAAGTTGCAAAAATTAATAGTATTGATTCTCAGCTTCCTGAGGGTTTCTTTAATCTAAAAGACAACTACATCCTTTTTAAGTGTTGGCCATATATATATACAATGAATGATAGAGGAAAAGAAGAAATTTTAAAAGCAACAACAACCTATTGGAAAAGTTCAAAATGATAACTGTTTGGAAAAAAAATCAGATTTGCAATAAAGTTGCAAAAATTAATAGTATTGATTCTCAGCTTCCTGAGGGTTTCTTTAATCTAAAAGACAACTACATCCTTTTTAAGTGTTGGCCATATATATATATAAACAGAAATAATTAGTTCTACCTATGCTTGGAGATAAAACAGTTAACCTCATGGAGGTTCATTAAATATTAAGTATAGACATCTTAGAGATGGGGATATCTGAAATTAAATTTGTAACATCTCTTGAAAATAAGCATTACTGAGAAGCACTTAGCATAGCTATAGTTCTTTACACTGAGTTTCTTCATTGAGCAGTTTTCTAGAATTTTCCAACAGCCCAGAAACAAAAATTTGATTAAGCATAAAATGAACACAAACATGCCTTTGAAGCAGCATCTTCAGCTTCCCGTTTATGTTTGCTGATGTTGTGGTCTAACTCCTTAATTTTAAGTTGAGAATCATTGTTTTCCTCCTTATGTTTTGCTATTTCTGCATATTTAGTTTTAATTACACTGTCATGGGCTACTATCACTTCTTTTTGCCTGGTAACTTCTTCTTGAGCTTTATTGACTGATTCCTAAAACAAAACAAATAAAAAACAAAAAAATACAGAATATATAGTAAAGGTATGTAAATACTTTTACTTTACTAAAAGTCTGACAGACTTCTAGGCAAGAGGTCAATGTAATATTAGGTCATCTAACTTGCTACATATTAAAATAACAAATGCATTTACACACAGAAAACAGGATTGTCACTAGAGGGAAAATTGCCAGGGATGCAGCATTCATGCTAGAAACAAAATTATTCAATGTAGTGAGGATGGAATCAATTGTATGGGAGGAGGGAGTACCAGAAGGTGATCTGTGAGATGGCAGAAAAAATTATAGGTAGTTAACAGGAAGATAATCTGACAGATCTCCAAATGACATTTGCTCAGGAAGGACAAAGATCAAAGGTAAAATTAAGGAAGTTTGGGTTTTCCTTCCCTCTCCTACTGTAAAGAGATGTAAGGCATGTGGATCATACCTATAGCAACAGAAGGTCACAACATTTGTTTGTAACACATAAGTCAAAACAAATTGGAAAACAGACCCTTTTTTGGAACAGACCTGTGAGACAAATTAAAAACATATGGCTTTCTCTTTCACTGCCCTCCTACTTCTTAAGGTTGAATCTACTTATCCTCCAAAATGCTACTTACATTTGGGATTTAGTCTTCTGTGACTATCCCCCAAAGCCCTTTGATTCCATTCTTTTAGACAAAGCAAATGATCATAAACTCACACAAATGTCTAAACAAAAAGAAACAAATAACCACAGTTCAAGTCATATTTAGGTTGGAAAAAAACAAAGAAAAGCGAAAACAAACAAAAGTACAACCTGACCAAAAGATAATGAAGAATAGATCACAGTAATTATAAGCAACAGTAAAAACATAGGTATATTTTTTTGACAAACCCTTAGCCAACCTTATTAAAAAAAAAAAAATAAAAAGAAAAGACCAAAATACATACAATTAGGGAGCAAAAGGGTGAAATTACAATGGACCCAGCAGAAATCCAGAGGACCATCAATTCAATACCTACTTTGAGAACCTTGGGCTAGGGATTTAGCTCAGTGGTTCCACCACCTGCCTTGCAAGCACAAGGACCTGAGTTTGATCCCCAGTAGGAAAAAGAAAAAGAAAAAGAAAATGCAAAAGAAAAAGAAAAAGGAGAACCTACAGGCCAATAGATGTAAAACACACAATCAATGGACAGATTCCTAGATATGTGTGAATTTCCAAAATTGAACACAGAAGACCTAAAAATTCTAAATGACTCGATATCAAAGAAACTGAAAACATAATTAAAAACTTACCAACTAAGAAAACCCAGGCCCTTATGGGTTCACTGCTGAATTCTACAAGACATTTAGAGGAACTATTGCCACTACTGTTTAAACCCTTCAAAGAAATTGAAAGGAAGATTTGCCAAATTCATTCCTGGAAGCAAGCATTACCTTGATCCCCAAAGCAGAGAAAGACCCAAACCAAAGAAAGAGAACTATAGGCCAATCTCCCTAATGAACATACATGCAAAAACCCTCAATGAGATATTGGCAAACAATATAAATGATTATCAAGAAGATGACTAACTGGAATTCATACCAGGTATACCGGGATGATTCAACATATGTAAAATGATAAATGTAATACACTACATTAATAAAGCAAAGGACAAAAACCCTATGATCATCTCAATAGATACAGAAAAAGCATTTGACAAAATCCAACACACATTCATGATAAAAACCCTACAGAAAACTGGAATAGATGGTCTCTATCTCAATGTGATGAAAGCAATCTATGAGAAAGTAACAGCCAATATCAAACAAATGGTCAAAAACTAAAATCCTTCACTAAAATCAGGAACAAGACAAGGATGTCCACTATCACCATTCCTGTTCAATATAGTTTTGGAAACATTAGCTACAGATATTAGACGAGAGAAAGAAATAAAAGCAATAAAGATAGGAAATGAAAAAGTCAAACTGTCATTATTTGCAGATGACATGATACTCTAGAAGGCTCCAAGAACTCCACCAAGTCTTCTAGACTTAATAACCAAATTCAATACAGTAGCTGGATACAAGGCCAACACACAAAAATCAATAGCTTTCCTGTACATGAACACTCAATGAAAGAGGAACTGAAGAAACAACACGCTTCATTAAAAAAAAAAAAAAAAAAAAAA